GCATTAAGGAAGATACTTGTTGGGATGAGCACTGGGTGTTATATACAGAGGATGAATCTACTCCTGAAATCATTATTGCACTAAATGCTAACTTGGATTTAAAATTCTTAAAAATACATAAATAAGGGGCACCTGGGTGGCTCAGTCAGTTGGGCGTCCGACTTTGGCTCAGGTCACAATCTCACGGTCCATGAGTTTGAGCCCCGCGTCCGGCTCTGTGCTGACTGCTCAGAACCTGGAGCCTGTTTCAGATTCTGTGTCTCCCTCTCTCTGACCCTCCCCTGTTCATGCTCTGTCTCTCTCTGTTTCAAAAATAAATGTTAATAAAAAAAATTTTTTTAAATACATAAAATAAAAGGTACTTTCACATTCATTCTCCTGTTAGCTCTCCCTAACAAAACTGGTAGACAGGGCAACTATTATCCCCATCTTACAGCTGAAACAGCAGAGGCTTAGAGAAGCCAGCTTGGGGGGGGGGGGGCTGCTTCGGATCCCCCTAGAACAAAAAAAATAACAGAGAATTTACATGATGCCAAGCATGGTATTAACACTTCATGTGCATGATCTCCCTTAATCCTCCAGTTCATCCACTGAGGTCTGTTACCCTAGTTACCCTAGTTAAAAGAACTCAATTTGGTAGGGATAATGATGGAAACACTGATTACATGTGTTCCAAAAATGATGAGAAACATGAATTATTCTGTGTCTCTCCACTGCCACCTTCTTTCCTTACAGATTCATCTTTCAGTTTACCACCTCTCTCTTCAGCTGTGTCTGCTGTTCAACCTGTCAGGTTTTAATGTTGACGGCTGCATTTCTTAGAAATTCTCTTTGGTTCTCCATAGTTTTCCCTGCTATATGCCACCCAGGCGCCCCCACTGTACTGCAGTTTTTTGTACTGCAGCCAGAGGTTGAGACTCAAGCTAGAGGTTGAGACTGCCTAGGAATATCAGTCCTCTGCTAATACTCTCTGCCCTCGTTCACTCCACAGTTTCAGGTTTATTGTGTGGATGTTCACTAGGAGAACACTTCCACCTCACCTATGACAGAGTAACTACTACCTGACTCGTCTGCCTGTCTGAACCATAAAGTGAGTCGGAACACACGTGAGGCAACTGCTCTTAGACACTGGAAAACAGGCAACACAGAACAGTGATCCCGGGGAGAAGGGAGACTCCTGAGGTGAGTCTCGTGAACGCCTAGCTGTCTGCTTAAGGATATTGTCCCGATGACTTCAACATAATGAACTAGAGTCCGAGCGGAACACTTGTGGTCCTCCTACGATGCTGAAGAGGCAGAGGTCAGGGTGGTAACAGTGGCTGGCTTCTGCAGGCCAGGGCAACAGAGAGAAGGAAGCTGGCTGCACAGAGACGATTCCCAAAAGTCTGTGTGCAGACGGGGCAGAGCTGCTGTATTCAGTACAAGACTCCCTGAGGCACACCAGAAGGTGGTCACTGAGGCTGAGCACGGCTGGGGGGTGAGGGAGGCTCTGCCCAGCCAGAGCAGCGAGACCCTGCTAACACCTCATTAACACTCCAGACATCCAGCCTAGAAGTAAAAATCTTGCCCTAGAATAAGGGCTACAGAAAATACCCTTCAATAACGAGGGTAAGATATAGTTCTGTCAATGAAGCCTGAGAGAATTAATTGCCAAGATCTACACTATATGAAATCCAATGATCTTCAGGCTGAAGGGAAATAATACTAGACAGAGATTTGGATACAGGAAGAAATGAAAACGCACTGGAAATAAGACAACTAAATGTTTAAATCAGAACAGGAGCAGGGAGGTAAAAGGGATTATACTGTTGTAAAACCCCTTTATTTCTGAAGTGGTGTGAAATGTCAAGTTGTTAAGAGTTCACACATAGCTCTAAAACAGCAGTTCTCAAACTTTGTGTTCGCCTTATAAAAATCGAGGGTCCTAAAGAGCTTTTTTTTATGTGGGTGTATCTGTGAACATTTATCATGTTAAAAATGAAAACAGAGAAATGTTTAAACATTTTTAATTACAATGACCCAATGTTTATAAGACACATTTACAGAAGATATTTTCCAAATCAAAACTTGATGAGCAGAGTAGCAGTTTCATAGTTTTACAAATGTCTTTAATGTTTGGCTTAATGGAAGACAGCCGAATTCCCATACCTGCTTCTGCATTCAACCTGTTCCAGCATGTTGTTCTGGTCAAAGTATATACGAAAAAAATCTGGCCTCACAAATGTAGTTGGAAAAGGAGGTATATTTCATAGCTTTTTCAGACAGTAGTATTCTTTGATACTACACCAAAAATTGACAAATGGGTGAAGGTTTTTAGTTTCTTCTCACAAAAATTATCTCCCAAATTATTATTTGGGTGCAACGCCAGAAACTACCCACGTCTCTGCACCGTAGTTTTTATAAAGTTAACGTGAGCTTTCTACAGTCGGGAATCCTGTTTCCCACTCAAAGCATCCAGCCCTGTTTCTTCAAGGCTTTTCAGGTTACAGAGCAGAGGCCAGATCTGGCCTCCGTGAAACTTGGCTTATTTAGAAGTCCAGTATTGGTGGAAAGTGGTTCCTTTTTCACTCCTGGGCCAGGCCTGCACAGGTGAGTTTAAGGCTCTGTTTTAAATTTTTTTTTTTTTTTCAACTTTTATTTATTTTTGGGACAGAGAGAGACAGAGCATGAACGGGGGAGGGGCAGAGAGAGAGGGAGACACAGAATCGGAAACAGGCTCCAGGCTCTGAGCCCTCAGCCCAGAAGGCTCTGTTTTAAAATGGAGCTCATTATGTCTCAGGGCAAGATTATGACTTTCTTCTCCACAACGAAAGAATTTTTCCGTCGGGTTTATCCATATAAGGTTGCTTCTCAAAACTTGGGGGGTAGTAAAGGAGGAGGTGATATAGAAGATTTTTATTGAAATAACTTAAATATTATGTAAACTGGCTTGACAGGTTCTTTTCATTTTTTCATCATTGTAAAAAGTATGCCTAAAGAGATACCAAATGCAAAAGCATGTATCTATAGTTAAACAACCCTTTCCCCATGAAGGCAAAATTATTGAGAAGTGTTTATTTTCCCTCTTGAAACGGCTAATCCAGGGAATGATATGGCTGCAGGTGGTATATTCATGCTGCTTCCTTCGTTGCTTCTCTCCCTTAAACACTCCAATCTTTCAGAACTACATCAATGAGATGCTAGTCTCTGCCGGGAAACACAATGATACGCAGGTCTTACGGGTCCAAGGCCCAGTGGAGAGACAGGTTCTTGTCGTCCACGCCGGCCACCATGTCTTCAATGGCGTTCCAGTCAAGTCTGCTGAGGATGCTACCAGTGCTCCCAGACACACTGTCGACGCCACCCACCCCGAAAGGAGGCTCTAGCTCTTCTTCGGTTGCTGCCAAGTCCTATCAAATTAAGAAAGGTAGTAAGCTGTGGTCTTAGCCTGAGGAAAAAGTAAACGGAACGTGAACTAAGCTTTCCAAAGATTCTAGTCGCTCATGCACCAACTGGCGAAGGAAATGCGAAGCAAACCCAGGACAGGGGTTGCCCAGCCCAACGGGATCGACAGTGGGCTGAACGTCACCTGACACAGCTAGACGCTGGCACCAGATCTGAAGAGTGGACACAGTGGGTTTTTATACTTGTCGTACAATGATCTGTTCTTACAGTTTTGTTATCTTTTAGTTAAAAGGAAAATGCAAAATCAAGGAAAATTCTGATAAATGCTGGAGCCCTAAGCCAAAGGTGTAGATGCTCTGAATTACCCCTTCAATCTTGCAGTATCTCTACATCCCGCAAAACAAAACAGACGGAACTAGGGGACACAGGGAAATCACCAGACAAATTGAAATCTGGAACAATGCTTACCTGTAGAAGGGAAGCAGGACTCTCGTGAACAGTTGTCCAGGGGCTCACCACGGTCTCTCTCTCATACTCTATACGTACCTGCTTTGATCGAGGTGAAAGCTCAGCACTGATGTGTTTTTTCGTACACTGCAGACTCCCACACGGAGCACTAGAACCTTTCAAGGGAAAAGGACAAAGTTACGATGGGACCGATTCACTTATAAGTTTGTTGGTTTATTCTTTTATCATCACATCTAAGGCAGTCACATTTTACCTAATATTTGAATCACAAGGTCTGGATATGGTTCTAACAATTCCTGCCCTGTCATTGTGACAGAAGGAAAATGAATTCTGGCCATCTCTTAATTTTAAAAACAGTGGTAACCTGTAGGACAAGAGAGTCCAGGGAGGAGAGGCCACAGAGAGAATGGAACTGTGGAGAAGTTCCAGCTGCAAAGTTGGATGAACACTGTGTTGAAAAAGAAAACAGCCAGCAAAACAGAAAGACTGAAGACTGAAGGATAATAAAAAGAGAAACCAACACGTGGTTAAGCAGTATTATAACCACAAGGGCAGGCCGTGTCTCCAAAGCAGATGGAAACAAATGGAGACGGGCGCTGAGTTGTTGCTTCAAGTAGTCAGGCTGTGAAAAGAGATTAGCAAAGGCTGTGGCCACCAACTAATCCCACCTCCACTTCTGCTACAATTGACCTGGTAACTAGACTTCAATACTCTTGTCAAATGAACATAATTATTGATTGCCATCTAAAAAGAATGACAAAATCACCACCAAAATTAAGAAATTAAGGCGAACAAGTCCTGCATTTAAAAGGATAAACCTTTACCCCTGGGGTATCTACACACCTGAGAAGCTATCACTGGCTTTCTCTCACCTTGCTTTACCCAGGGATGGCTTTGTAATTTCCTTCTCTTCAGATCAGACTGCATTTCTCTAGGATTTGTTCGGGATATCCAGTCTTAAAATAAAAATACAATATGGAAACAATGCTGTGAAACTGAGCATGTGCAAAAAAGCTTTTCAAGTTTGGGTGTTCCTGCCCCATTGTGGACAGTGAATGTTTTCAAAGGTAAAAGACCCATGATACATCAAGGAGAAACTCCACAGCAGAAATGAGGCAGAAACCTCAAAGAAGCACTCTCTCTGTGGACAGTGAACACTGCCACTCGGTGTCTTTAGAAAGCATATTGACGAACAGTATCTCTGGAGACTAGCCCGAGGAGTCCGGAGCTGAACGGTGAAACTGAATCCATTGCCTCTGCTTCCGCCAGGAGAAAACCCTGTTCCTCTTCTTGCCCCCTTGTCAATTATTGGGCCACGCTCCACACACACCCCCAAGCCACAAACGTGGAGCTGTACTCAATTTCATCCTGTCAGATAAGGCTACCACTGGGTAATGAAACAAATACTTCTATTTGCCTTTCTATGGGCAAGGCCTCATGCTAGATCGTAACACCCTTCACGAACACAAAACCCTGGACCTCTGGAGCTTGTATAAATAGAATACCAGTGTGCATGTAACTTCACCTATTTTGGGGCCAACACTGTATTTTGGGGCTATTTTATCTGTTAAACTAACATTGATAGGTATTTGTTTAGAAAATATCTGGAGAACCCCCGCTATTTTATTCTAAAGTAAACTCTATACCCAACATGGCACTCAAACTCACAACCCTGGGATCCAGAGTCACATGCTCTACTGAGCCAGCCAGGCACCCCTTGGGGTACTCTAAACCAGAAAATATTTTGCAAAATATTAAAATGAGAGACTCTGAAAGGAGAGGAAAAAAAAAAAGGTCTGAGATTATACGATTAAAAGCACAGGAAATGATGCTTCTAGGACTCAAACTAATCCTAACTACAGCATTGGGTTTTAAGGCATATAGTGGGGAAAACTATGGAGAAAGAACCAAAGAGAATTTCTAAGAAATGCAGCCATCAACATTAAAACTTGACAGGTTAAACAGCAGACACAGCTGAAGAGAGAGGTGGTAAACTGAAAGATGAATCTGTAGGGAAAGAAGGTGGCAGTGGAGAGACACAGAATAATTCATGTTTCTCATCATTTTTGGAACACATGTAATCAGTGTTTCCATCATTATCCCTACCAAATTGAGTTCTTTTAACTAGGGTAACTAGGGTAACAGACTGGAGGATTAAGGGAGATCATGCACATGAAGTGTTAATACCATGCTTGGCATCACGTAAATTCTCTGTAACTGTTATTTTTATTGTTCTAGGGGGATCCGAAGCAGCCCCCCCCCACCCCTTGGCTTCTCTAAGCCTCTGCTGTTTCAGCTGTAAGATGGGGATAATAGTTGCCCTGTCTACCAGTGCTGTTACAGAGAGCTAACAGGAGAATGAACGTGAAAGGACCTTTTATTTTTTTATTTATGTATTTTTAAGAATTTTAAATCCGTTAGCATTTAGTGCAATAATGATTACAGGAGTAGATTCATCCCCTGTATATAACACCCAGTGCGAGGATTCTCAAGAAGATGGTGGCATAGGACGACGCTGGGCTCACCGCGCGTCCTGCTGATCACTTAGATTCCACCTACACCTGCCTAAATAACCCAGAAAAATGCCAGAAGACTGGCAGAACGGAGTCTCCGGAGCCAAGTGCAGACGAGAGGCCCACGGAAGAGGGTAGGAAGGGCAGCGAGGCTGTGCGCGCTCCACAGACTGGCGGGAGGGAGCCGGGGCGGAGGGGCAGCCCGCAGGCCAAGCAGAGCCCCCGAGTCTGGCTGGAGGAAGCGGAGGGGCCGGACGGAGTGTGTTCCCACAGCAAGCGGGACTCAGCCTCTGGGAGGTCATAAGTTAACAGCTCTGCTCGGAAAACGGGAAGGCTGGAGGACAAAGGGAGGGAGAGTTGCTGAGCCCCGGGACCACAGAGCTCAGTTTGGCGGGGAACAAAGGCGCTCGACAGAGCCATCTCCCTCACCCACCCCCAGCCAAAATCCCAAAGGGAACCGGTTCCTTCCAGGGAACTTGCTCACTCAGCGCAAACACCCAACGCTGTGCTTCTGCGGAGCCACCCCTCCGACAGCAGGTCTGACTCCCTCGTGCTGCCACAGGGCCCCTCCCGAAGCGGATCTCCGAAGGAAAAGTGAGCTGAGCCTGCCCCTCCCGCCCCGTGCACCTTGCCTATCCACCTTGCCTACCCACCCCAGCTAAGACGCCAGATCCCCAGCATCACAAGCCTGGCAGTGTGCAAGTAGCCCAGACGGGCCCGCCACCCCACAGTGAATCCCACCCCTAGGAGAGGAGAAAAGAAGGCACACACCAGACTGTGGCCCCAGCGGTGGGCTGGGGGCAGATATCAGGTCTGA